TAACAAAGTCATTGACAGACGTTTTCATAGTTCTGTGGTCAAGGTTAAATAAAAGACATAGACTGTAAACTGCATGCCATGATTCAAATGTTATTTAAACATCATCAGCAGTGTATTTTCTGGTCAAATGAAACACTTTAGCCATATTAAACGGCTCAAGAGTTTGGAGAAACCAAGAAGGGGCCTGGTTACTTGAAAATATAGAGTCGGCACGACGGTCGACAGAGGACTTTAGGGACACCTGGGCATTAGAGTTTACTAGGCGAGAAAGTTCGCAACGAACCTAGTAATCTGTCTGTCTGTCTGTCTGTCTGTCTGTCTGTCTGTCTGTCTGTCTGTCTGTCTGTCTGTCTGCGTGCCTGCTTGTCTGTCTGTAAAACTTTCAACACTTCTTGTTTTTCACTCTTCTACTATTTCAAACGTGGTTAAAATCTAACTTGAGAGTTGTTGAAATCAAATGTAAGAAAATAACAGAATATTATTCTTATAAAAATCGGAGAATATAACGTCAAGAGATGGGCAAACAACCAAAGCAAGAGGCATTGACATCCATTGCATCCAACTTCCACTGTGGAGATAAGACATAAATTATTTATCTTGTGTGTTCTAACAACGTTGAACAAACAAACAAATAAACATACACACATACACGCACGCACGCATGCACACACTGACATACTTCACTTCCTCCGTCGAAGTGATCGGTGGGAAAAAAAGGGGGGGGGGGAGGGTATAGGTTCTCCTTCTAATTTCTTATCTCTTCTTGTTACCCTGGCAGCTCTTCTAATACATCTAATCTCTGTTACGACTTTTCGCTCATTAGTTTTAGTAAAGGCCCATTTCTGGCACTGGTAACATAAAGTTAACGGGAAAAAAATGTGATTGGAATTGCTTTGATATACAACGGTATACTTCTATGAGTCAAAAAATGGTGTTCGTTGTTTTCCACTTCCTGGTTTGCTTTAGCCCGTCGTGTAAGGAAACCATTATTTGGCAAATAACTACGCAGTGAATAACATACATATGGAGTCAAACAATCATCATCATCAGCAGTTTCCACTTCTGCCGTTCAAAAAGGGATGACTGTTGTCAAGCTAATAACAGTTTTACTAACGCCACATTATTTTTAATTTTTGTTTATTGTATTATTTTTATGCTTATTTTATTTCATGTTATTACTTTATTTTATCTCTCATCAGTACCATTTATGGATCATTAACAGTTATATTTCGACTACTCTTTTATTGCTAGTATTATTATTAAACTTTATCACTATTACTTATAGGACTTTATTCGACCCTTCCTTTATTTCATTCTTTTCATTCTACATCACCATTTTCTAAAGTTTCTCACGTCACCCTTCGGTGGTTGGAGTAATCTCCCCTTAGTTATTGTTGTCCAGTTCATGTCGAGAAAGGCCACGGCTTCTACTTCCCAATTTCGTTAAAAGCTTTTCAGTCACAGTCCACTGGATTATTTTCTTGAATTAAGAGTTGTAGGGAGGAATAGTTTGCGATCCATTGCTTAATGGACAGCATTGGCTATTGTCATTTCGCGTTGATGTAGAACTGTTAATGTCATTAGTCCATCTTCTTCTAGTGCAGCCTCTTGCTTTCACTTCAGATCTTTCTTTTTTCTGTGTTGGTAGTTATTCTCCCTGCATTCTCATTTCGCGTTGATGTAGAACTGTTAATGTCATTAGTCCATCTTCTTCTAGTGCAGCCTCTTGCTTTCACTTCAGATCTTTCTTTTTTCTGTGTTGGTAGTTATTCTCCCTGCATTCTTCCTAAATGACCAAGTCGTTTGATCCTCTGCTTCTCGACGAATTTGCTGCATGATGTTGTTCCTACAATCTTTCTGATAATACCATTTCTAACTTTGTATCGGATGGTTAAGTCGGCGGCCTTTCTAAGGCATCTAATTTCGCAGGTCCTTATTTTGATAATGTCCAAGTCTGGCACTGGTAGTACAGTCTTGTTATGAACATATGGAGTCAAACGACAAGCCCTCTAAGTGAAAAGAAATGGGATTTGTAACGTTGGTATCATAAATACACTGGGAAATAAAGAAACGCAGTGTAATTTAAGCAGTATCACGAATAATGTAAAGATGTTATTCCTGTGTGGGTGCCAGGGTCCCATTATGGTAAGAATAGACCCACTACCTCCCCAGCAAGCGTGTCGTAAGAGTCGACTAACTGGAGGCTTTCCTTTAAAGTCGGAGTGCATCTGCATGAGAGGTGAGGAATCCACATTTTGGATACAAATATGTCAGAACGGTCAAACGGATGGGCACGCAACACTCAGATTCTGGAACAAGACTAATGTCTAAAGGCGAACGAACAACCATAAATTTCTGCCGTAGTTTACAGCTGGTGAACGAGAAGAAGAAGGTGAAGATTAGACATTGAGATTATAGAGTAGCGCCATATACCGGATACACTTTAAGAAAACTGAGCGAGTTCTTCACGCCACAGAAGCGTAAACGAAGTCACTACAGAGTGCTTTTCATGTCGTCAGCGAACTGGACATTCTTTGCCTGGCCTGCGGTTTTTGACGGTCATTCGATGGGTGTTATGAACAGTATCATGCCGGCCACCTTTGCCCCTAGGACCCTTTCTTGTATTTTCTAAGACTACATCGACCTGGAAGCCCAATTTGCAATTGTTAGGAATTAAAAAAGAAATTTTTTTCAACACTAGACAAGTAATTATTTAACTTACCTTCAGTATTTTATCCCGGCTACCGCTACTGATGACTTTGAATATGCTAGTTTTCCTGAGATTCATGACCAGTTGGATATACTAATCTGCGTTTACAGTTCTAGTGTTTGTTACTCTGACGAAGTTCATGAAGGTTAATTTGCTGAGACCAAGTGTGTTGAATCTCAAAATTGCCTGTGAGTGAAAATAAATAAATAAAAAAGCAAAGGATTCTTTTCCAGGCCGTTGGGCGTATTAGGCATATGAGGCTAGACCTATATTTTCATTGACCAATCGGCACTTGGTGGGTGATGTGGGCAGCATCACGTCAGTCGCTTTTACTTCCCATTTCTTGAGGACAGGCACTCTTGTCTGCAGATCTAGAGGTTAAATGTTGAAAACCCAATCTAGGCGGGTTTTTACAGTTTATCTGGACTATAATACCTACCTAGTCTAAGATGTATGATGGGAAATTGCCTGCAAGTAAAGACGACCGACGTGATTCTGACCACATTGCTCGCAGAGTGAGTGCCGTTTGATGTAAACGAATACAAATTAACACCAAATTTCCTGAAATCTTCTTCTTCCTTCTTCTTCTTCTTCTTCTTCTTCTTCTTCTTCTTCTTCTTCTTCTTTTTCTTCTTCTTCTTCTTCTTCTTCTTCTTCTTCTTCTTCTTCTTCTTCTTCTTCTTCTTCTTCTTCTTCTTCTCCTCTGCTCCTTCTACTTTTTTTTTCTAAACTTCCTCTTTTATACGGTTCTGCTTCTTGCTCTTCTGATCGCTTTGACCTTAGCCATATTGTGAATTTGTTTCTCTTGTGTTATCTTTTCACCTCGTTTTCGGTTTATCTGGTGCTCTGCGTCCTTCTCTTTTGGTGTACGCATTGTATAGTATAGCTTTACAAGGCATTCTAAGTGGGCAATCCATTTGCTTTGCTGTCAAAAACCTTATGGCGTAAAAGTCAGGCTTTTTTTTTTTTCCATTTATTTTAAACGTTAATTGTTTTAACACCAGCCTCTGCACATTTGAAATATTACTGAAGAGGACTACCTACTGTTATGACACAAGCTATGTGACACTGAATTTTACAACAAAGACGCACATACAAAAACACGCACAAACACACAAACACGCCCGCACACAAAACCACTAATTATTAAGAACCTTGGCAGTGAAATCAACATGTCGTTGGGACTATGAATATCGAATGTTGAATTCAGAATCGACATCACAGCACTAGGGACACTCCCATAAGCACTCTGTCCACAACTTCAGCAGCAGGTGAGGAGTTCCAATTCCGATGGTACCAGTAACTTAAGAACTATGATATTGCAGTAGATTGTCCACACCTAAATGTGTCGCGGATATACACACAAATAAAAATGATCTGTATCTTCTCAACCTCATTGATGACATCTTTTTTTTTAAGTTAGGGTAATATTTACTCGATTCTCCAAGTCATAAAGATAATTAAATTAAGTTAGGCTTCCACAATCATGTCTCAGGAATCCACCAATTGGAGGTTTCCTTCGAAGTCGGAGTGCATCTGTCCGAATGGCAAGAAAAAACAAACTGCACATACTCAAGCAAGTAAAACGCATGTACACGCAAAATTCAGGTCCTGAGACAGAGACAAAGTCCAGATGGAAGATCAGCCAGGACTTTCCGCTGCAGCTTACAGCCGATGAACAAAGTCATAGAGGAAGAAAATATCCCTGCGCCGGTATCTGGTCGTCAGTTATCTCCACTTTGCATAGTCCAATTTTCACCTTTTATGTGGTTTGATCATTGAATTTATGGGCCCTAGATACATATTCCCTACGTCCTTTTTAGAGCGAAATTTTTTGTTATTTGAAGCCCCACCCTGGCTTTTGCCAGGGGCCGCAATATAGGCAGGCCATAAATATGGCCAATTGTCTGAACGCGGTTTCTGGGACCTCTCCACAGTGATCCTCATCCACATGACATGGTGGCACTTTGTGTCATCGGGTGTTTATCGCTTGTGTAATGTCCTGGTGGCGTAGAAAGTCAGTCAGTCAATTTATGGGCACTAAATAGTGACCCATTCACGGTTTACAAGTGGTTAATTGCATGTATTGTCCTAGCATCAAGATGTTACAGAAGTTTCTATCGTATCATCATCATCATGTGCCCTGCCAACTGGCGTAGGTACTCATGCGTCACCACAGATCACGATCCCTGGTTGCCTGGAACAGCTCTCTTGATGATATCCTTCCATGCCATCGTTTCAGCCCATCCAGCATCATCTCTCTTGGTCTGCCTCTATCCCTTTTCTACTGATCGTTCCAGTTGTCACGATGTTCTTCAATGTCCCTCTTCTCATTATGTGGCCAAAGAACAGTGTTTCCCCCTTGTTATTGTTGTATATAGAGATCTATTTTCATTGTAACATTCGTCTCAGAAACCACATCTCTGTTGCTTCCAAAATCTTCCTAATTTGCTCACTGACATTTCAAGAATCGCTGCCAAACAACAGAACAGGTTTTATGTAACATTTTAGCACCCTCTTTCTGACATTAAATCAGAGCGATTGCATAAAATATTTTTCATTTTCTGAAATGCAGCTTTTACTTGACCTATTCTGCTTTTAATATCTGTCACACATTTTCCATCTGATGATATGATTGTTTCCAGATATTTGAATTTATTGACTTGGTTAAGTCTTTTCCCTTTAATTGAGATATCACAGCGTGGAGTTATCTTCTTCTTTGATATAACCATTATTTGCGTTTTCTTAATATTCAATGAAAGTCCTTTCTTAGCACTCTTCATCCCCACAATATCCAGCAGTTGTTGTAAATCAGTTGCATTTTCATTTATCAAAACTGTAGCGTCTGCATATCGCACATTGTTTATATTGTATCCCCCAACTCTTATTCCGGCTTTCTGTTTCATTTCCCTCAAATTATTTCACCATATAGAGAGAAAGGGTCTGGGAATAAGACTAATGAGTAATCCAATTTCAACATTCCTTACGTCCTTCTTAGGACGTAGTTTTTCGTTATTTGAAGCCCCACTCTGGCTTTTGCCAGGGGCCGCAATATAGGCAGGTCATCATTATGGCCAAATGTCTGAACGCGGTTTCTGGGACCTCTCCACGGTGATCCTCATTCACATGATGCCACTTTGTGTCATCGGGTGTTTATCGCTTGTGTGATGTCCTGGTGGGGTAGAAAGTCAGTCAGTCAGTCAATAAGACTAATCCCCGTCTTACTCCTTGCTTTATTTGTTCAACAGTACCCAATCTGTTTCCCACTTAAATTGATGCTACTTGGTTGCAGTAAATGTTTCTAATTATTTTGATATCTTTCCCTTCCAACATTTTGTTTTATCATATTCTAATGTTTAACTTTGCCAAATACTTTGGTATAATCTATAAAGCACACCTATAAATATAATGTGCTTTTAAGCTCTAAAAATACGGATATAAAGCGTATTATGAAAAAGAACACGTCCTCCCTTAATGTAAAGTGGGGAAAATTCATTTGAAATACTGAGAGTAATGCTAAAATCTTGGGAAATTAAACGTAATCTCAGTGACCTCTTTGTGTCTTACATATACTGTCCAAACTTCGAGCAAAAATTCTTGTTTAATTAGAAAATCTGAGAGGCGGAACAACATCGGGTGTCCTTTTGTTTCTCTGTTCTAACGCCATTTTCATCTGTAATTAATTTTCACATTAGCACCATACTAACGATACTTACCGAATTCCAAGAAAGACTCAGTTTTGTATCCAAAAACGTCTGCTGACAAACTTTGGCGGTTCAAAAAATAGGAAGCTTTTTCTGTGAGAAGGCAGACGATGGTAAAAAATGGATGACTTAATAGTGTCTCTGACGTGAAGGAATGAAGGTTACGTGACCTAGTTTCCGCCGTGTACAAAGACAACGTGTTTTCGCCCAAGTAGGTTAATTTCAGGTAAAACAAAAACATTCCATGCACGTCACTGTTGGAATTTTACGTGTACAGCTTACTAGGTCATGCCTATATATGGCTGACCAGCTATCGTCTTTCGTTGTTTCCAAATAATATTACATATTAGATTTCCAGAAAAATTTAACAACTGTGATTGAATGAATTTACGCGACCCATACAGGCCAATAGCCTACTGTCTACAGACTGAATTATTATTCAGTAACATACTATCCTCACATGGTATGGGTGCCATAATATGACTGTGATGCTGTTTAACAGGATTTCTAGAATTTGCTCCTGTCTGATTCTCATCCTTCAGGTGTAAATCCTGCAGACAACAAGCCATGAGGATAACAATGACCTGACTCAATCTGGCTAGGTCAGAAAGCAACAATAACCCCGCCGGAGGTAGAATTTGATGGGAGTTGAGCCTTGATAGAACTAGGGTATTGGAACAATCTGGGCTTCGCTGACACCATGGCCACTAGCAAGTCTTAGTGGAAAAAGGTCGTTTCACAGTTTTATATCTTTCTACAGCATTTCCACAAATTTAGAGGACTAATCTGTTTTGATTTGTCACAGAGAGGTTAGGTTTTCAAAAATTTTGTTTATGCTGAGTACACTGCGTTGTCAGAACACTGTAACTTCTATTTTTATTTGCGAAAATGTTTGCTTGCATCTTCTGGGCTCGTTTTGGGAGTGAGTTGCATCCACTATTTTGACTATGGCTTCGTCTCTGCATTCACGAAGTGAGCCCATGTCTTGTGCCCAGTCACAATTATGTTGAGACATACATCCCCATACATCCATCAGCGCAGTAGGAGCGGCCAAACTGCGTCCATTCTGCGAGCTTGGTGAACGTCAGTGAGTTGCTTTGATGCCTATCTTGAGCAGAATTTGAGGTAACTTAATCACTCTGTGAAAGTTCGAAACAGACAAGTCCTTAAAATTTGTAGAAATTCTGTAGAAATATCTGAAATTGTGAAACGGCGCGCTTTTCCAGTACAAGTTGGTAGATTTTTTGAATGAGCTCATCTCTCACACATCAACGTTGTCATTGTCCATCCTCATCAAGCACAATCTTTACGCCAATCTCTGAATTTTCTGCACCACTCCTTGACAAAACGGTCACTCATAACGTTAACACCATA